ATAGATCAACTCGACGGATTCCGCCCGCTGTGGCGGTCCGGATGAGAAAATTCCGCCCGCTCCAGGAACCAATCAGATTGCAGGATTTGTTGAATTCCGTCCGCTCACGAACCGAGAAAAAGATAAATTAAAATATGTGCAGATCATCCAATTCAATTCTTTGAAATGGTAAAGAAACTTTGGTCTGAAAGATGTTATTTTAAAAGAGAACTCCTCCCCCCTTCAAAGGCATATCCTGCTTAAAGAAATGTTCAGTGCAGTTGGAAACGACGTGCAAGTACAATTAAACTACTGCACTGCTCTTTCGAAATTGTTTTCAATGCTCCTTGAACGGTTGACAATCAACATAGAGCTGATATTGAGACGAATTAACCAGCTCTTTTTTAATTAACTGGCCTATTATGAGCAAAACATTTGGGTTCAGCGGATTACAGGAAATATTCTTTCTTGATATTCAAATTACATTACCACATACCAGAACAAAATGGAACGGACGTTTTGAGCAAGAAATAGCCGAACTCAAGTGAATTACAGTTCATTGAATTTGATATTCTGATCCCGGCGGCTTGTCAAGAAATAAAAATTGCAATCGCAATGAAATTTTGAATCTTTAGACGTTGTTTTTCCTTTCAGCTGATGTTTCTTTACTTTCATCGCATTTGGCTTTGTTTCATTCTATTCCGAGGTAATAAAGCAAGTTTATAACAAGCTCCCAGCAATACTCATTCAAACGCAAAATATAACAAACGGGACCGTCCTTAAAGAGAAGCTAAGGCGAATGTTGAATATATTTCCCGGCAGACATGATAACCCAATTCGTTGGAAAAACACTCACAATTTTTCCAAACTTTTCAGTCTTTAGGGTTTTTTAGTCAATCCTTGTTAACTTTCTCGCGTACTTAAAAAATTCTTATTTACACCTGGATGTTTATTCTTGAAGCCTTGTTGAAGAGGCTACAGCATCTTAAGCAAAACGTATGTAAATTACTAATTTCAAATTAGTAATTGTTCTTAATAATCAACAGAAACAACAACTGTAAGTAACCTGAAGAAGCTAAGAAGTCGAGGCGAAAAGGTAAATAATCGTCAAATTATTTCTCAGTTATTGCAGTGATAATTTATCAATTCTTTTCGAAGTTGTAAAGGATGTTGTAGAGAAACCCAAAGCAGTAAGATATCTCGAGTACCATTTAGGTGTTTGTATTGTTTTACAGCTATTTCGAGAAAGATTATCCTTCGAAAGCGAAGACACGTAGGCAACAATCCCGAAAAATACTATGAGTGGTGATAGTTGTCCGTTGTTTCTTCGAAGTTCACGATAGACGAAGTGCGATAGACGAAGACAGCATTAGTACGAGTTTTCATGGCTTTGGAACACCGTAAAATTAACTTGATCCGAGAACAAGAGTGAACTATCACCGTTTGTTTTTTTACGCTTCCGTAAGACAAGCGATCTCGAAACAGCTGTATAGCATTCGTTAGAAAGGACCATGTACTTGCATCATAAAAGTGGTGAAGAAAAAATATGCATGCAAGCAACACTATTTGGTAAAACAAAATGTCTTTGAAACAGGAATATCTTTGGTTATCTGAACCATTTACTCTTCATCAAATGAACTCAAGCTTTTGATCGTGTTCATTTTATTTTGTTTTCCCATGGAACTTTGATCATTGTTACTTTGGTTTGATCTTAGAAAGAAGACTTTTCTGAAGATGGGAAGTGATGATTCCTACTCACTCAGGTATTACAGTTTATCCAAATACAACCACTGTTAAACAAATCGTCAGAGCACAACCCTTATGTATCCAGCTGAAATGTGATGTTTTCTTTCTTGAAATAATGTAGATTTTGACTAACAGGAATTAAGGACTGTTGCTTAAGATATTTGCGTGCTTGTTAAAATAGAACTTCAGATTAATGTATCTTTATGTCATCTTTATGTATCTTTATGTATCTTTATGTATCTTTATGTCATCTTTATGTCATTTTTATGTATCTTTATGTATCTTTATGTATCTTTATGTATCTTTATGTATCTTTATGTCATCTTTATGTATCTTTATGTATCTTTATGTCATCTTTATGTATCTTTATGTATCTTGTGCTTTCGATATAAACACATTTAGTACGTATGTTGACATGGCTGAGCTCTTTTGGTGGGTTACTAAGGGTTTCCTGGAAAAACAGGATCAAGGATCACCGGATCTCCTGGTCAAGGATCAAGGATCCGGTTTTTCCAGGAAACCGTTACCAAGAGCAACATTCCCATTTGAGATCTATTGGCCACAAGTCTGACTGTTTATCTTGATAACAATCATAGAAGAGCCACGTTATCAAAGCGTACCGTGCATATGCTTACCGTTTGGGAAAAAAGTTCCAAGCTCAAATGTACGTACGTACGGCAAAGGCATATTTAACCTCTACGTGTTTTTTACAAAAATGGCTTCGTTAAAGGAAACCAGGGACTTTAATTCACTTTCATATGACATAGACTTGATTAATGACGATGTTTTTCTTCTCCTTTATCCGTCTTACTTCTCCCAGAACTTAGATTTGCCTTATAGAACCATCTGTAATTCCAACCACAAACAAAATAACACTGATAAAAAGCTCCGTTAAGGACGGGCGGGCAGCTCGTACAACTTGATAAGCCCAAAAGTACAGAACTTTTTATTCTAATAAAATACATTTTAAACAGCAATAAACGATTATAGCTCAGCTTAGTTCATATGAAACTTTCTTTTCTGCGGCTGTTCGGCCCGATTCTAATATGACTGTCGCTCGCGGTGGGTGTTTAAACCGTTCAAATTTTCTGTACAAATGACAAAGAAACAATCACCTTAGAACGGATTTTATGATTGAGTACTTTACTTTAAAAGAGAGTTGAATGAGAAGTAAACAGCAGGCTTATACTCACGTAGTGAAGAGTACGTGAAGCCCGGCACTTTCCCGGAGAAAAACACAAGGCTATGGCGAGAAAGCCGTACTGAAACGGGCGCAATGATGTCACCGGATGTGGTCTTCACTATCTGCCACTGTACTACAGCCTAGCCGTACCATGTATTAAACCCGGGGTATTAAAGTCCCTGTTGTCTTGGCAGTACGGACAGAGCGAAGCGAGTTCCCTACAATAGAGAACCGGGACCGATATTTCCCCAGTAGCGTTCCGAGCAAGTTTCATTACACGACTAAAAAATGTTTATGTTAATCACGGACTGGAAAAAATATCGCAAACGTCAAGCGCGCAATTCTGACTGGGAGCAGACTACAATCCCAGACAAAAAAGTTGGGACACGAAGCAAGTTCTCCCCTCCCCCTCCCCCCCC